AGAGAGAGAGAGAGAGAGAGAGAGAGAGAGAGAGAGAGAGAGAGAGAGAGAGAGAGAGAGGAGAGAGAGACAGAGAGAGAGACAGACAGACAGAGAGAGAGAGAGAGAGACAGAGAGACAGAGACAGAGAGACAGAGACAGAGAGACAGAGAGAGAGAGCGTGTGTGTGTATTGTGTGTGTATTGTGTGTATTGTGTGTGTGTGTGCGTCAACGTTCGCCATGTGAGACAAAAGCAGATGCACGTAGCTACTTCACGACAGCAGTACACGCACGCACACACATACACGCACACACATACATACACATACACATGCACACGCACGCACCCTTCTTCCCCGTGGACGTGTCTGGAGCGGTGGATGGCCTGAGCGGAGTTGCAAACGCGGGACCACCGCGCCGCACGGGGGCGGCCAGGTTGGTTGAGAACGACACGGCTCGCTGCTTCTCCGCCAGCACGCGACTGCGCCCTCCCCCCGAGTGCTGTGCCGCTGTTGTTGATGATGGTTGTGGTTTGCGGTGGCTGCCCGGCGGTGCAAGCAAGCTCTGCCCACGCTTCTGTCTCAAGCGCAAGGAGACATAGGAAAGAGGACAAGCGCAAGCAACAAGGTGAACACATGCATGCACATGTGTGTGTATGTGTGTTCGTTCTTGTGTCTTTGTGTGTTGTGTGCCATTGCAATGCACTGCACCTTCTTTGGGACGTAGAGGGACTGGGAGCGGGCGGCTGGTGATGACGGCAAGCGGCGACCCTGGGCGACAGCATGAATCGCAAAACAAGCGACATCATGTGGTGCAAAAGCCGCGAATTAGGTCGCTCTCCACGCTCATGCACGCACGCGCACACGCACACATGCACACGCATACACGATACAAGCACGCGCATGTGCGTACAAGCACACGCACACATGCACACGCATACACGGCACATGCACACATGTACACGCGACAGGCCACAATACCCGCATGCGAGGGGACGGTTCAGCCGACTGTGGGCGCTGCGCAATTCCGTCTTCATCGTCGCGGCCGACGTGACTCAGGGCCCGCACCATCGCATGCCGCATGCTGTGGCCTGAGGACATGTGGATCATTCGGGACACCACGCGTCAGGGTTGAGGCGATCACAACAAACTGGACCACAAGGAGCATCATCAACGCGTACAAACGCCTTCGCACTCTCGCACGTGGTGTGTCCACGGGTGTGGCAGGTGCAATGCAGTCAGCCGCACATGTGCGCTCACCGAGATTTTCCCCGCGTGTGTGCAGCAGTTCGTCTACATCTGTGACGGAGAGCGTCAAGCTGCCAATGGTTCAGGGTGGATTGGACGCAAGGGGCGGGACGGCGAATGGTGTGTGCGGTTGAGTGATTCAAGCGTGATCGAGAGCGCAAGGAGGACAGGCAAGGTTAACACTTACGCGCGTACAGGCAGGCACACACACACACGCACACACACACGCACACGCACACGCACACACGCGCACACGCACATCAACCATGAGGGTGCGCGCACCTGGCGAATGCCTGGCAGTACTGTTTTGTGAGGAAGACGCGGCTGTCGCGGTCAAGCTGCTGCGCAGTGAACAGCAAATCGTTCTTTGGCGTCTGCAGTGGCGGGCCTGATGTGGGCAGTGCGTCGCGTGATTGTTCAATGAGCACAGAAAGCAACAGCAGGAAAGTATTGATTTCGTCTTGCACCCACACGCGCACAACGTGCAACCATGCACAGAATGCGCAAGCACGTACGTATGAATACAACGCACAAAACGTGCATCAAGCACAAAACACGCCCGAGCAAAGCGAAGCAAAGCAAAGGACTTGCGTGCACGAATAAAATGAGAGAACATCGTGTGCACGTACCGAGCAGCTCGATGGTGTGCGAGGCCACGGCAGCCGGGTCCTGTCCGCCTGCAAAGGGGAGGACACAGCCGAAACGGAGACAAAACGTCTGCTCCATCTGCGTTGGCAGCGCGGATATCGACTGCTGATGTGAAAACGCGCGTGACATGCGCTTGCCTTGCTTCCCTGCTGCCTTGTCGAAGACGACGGGGACAGCAACAGCGTACAGCAGCTCAAGCGTCACCGCCATCTCAGGCGCCTGCACGACATCACGCAATTCAATTGTGCCGTCAAAGTGGAGATGGGATCCACCATCCCCAGACGATGCCTGCGCCTCTGCTGCACGCGTGTTTTCGTCGCTTCCCTGCTCGCCCTCGCGTGTTGACGCATAGCTGCGGTTCCCACTCTCCTGCTGCTTGCATCGTGGTTGTAGGTGTGGTCGTGGTTTTGTGGTTGTGGCGTTTCGTGTGTGCGTGCGTGCGTGCGTGCGTGCGTGTGTGCGTGCGTGCGTGCGTGCGTGCGTGTGTGTGTGTGTGTGTGTGTGTGTGTGTGTGTGTGTGTGTGTGTGTGTGTGTGTGTGTGTGTGTGTGGTTGTGGCTTTGTGAGCTGGTCAGCTGGTCATGATGAGGGCAGTGTGCAGCAATAACGAAGGCGTCGTCATCCCTCCATTCGCCGCCATGAAAACAAGGATGCCCAACGCACCACCAGCGGGATCTGTGTTGGCTTCTTCAAGTATGTGAGGCCGTTGTGTACGCCCACCTGCAACGACCACAATCACCCCAACAGCAACAACGCAGCAATGGTGGAGACTTGAGCGATGAAAGCGGGGTCACACTCACGCATTCCACGTGCAATCCAAGCAGGCTGGCAAAAGCACGCACACATGCACGCACGCGCACACAAGCGCACACACGCGCACACACGCAAACCACTTCCACTCTTTGCTTCCTTACGTTGAGGAAGCGCTGCTTCACAGCAACGCGACGCATGATGTTGCTGGTCTCCTTCTCATCCAAACCAGGATGCGCAGTCGTCACAGACTGCTCATGTGTGTTGCGTGTGCGTGTGTGTGTGTGTGTGCGTGGTTGCGTGTGTGTGTGTGTGGGTTGTGTGTGTTAAGAATTGGTTCAAGGAAAGCATGGCCACGTTCCACAAGAGCACACTGCCAGGCGCATCGAGCAGCAGCTGAGGCAGCTTCTTACACATGTACACAATAACGGCACCACCCAACACAAGAAAACACACACACACACACACAGACACAGACACAGACAGACACAGACACACATGCGCGCGCACGCAGCACAAGATGCGGTGGTGCACCTGTTTGATGTGGTCGAGGAGCGTCTCCTCAAAGCGCTGTAAGGAGGGCGTCATCGCAATCTGCAGGTCACTGGCAATCAACGGCTTGGCCTGCTCGGGCGCGGCGTCCCGGATCCACTCCCACGTCTCCGGGTCCTCCTCGTCGTCGAACATGGGCCGCAGGTTTTCAACCAGGCCAGGCACGCGCGTGTATCGGGACACGAGCATGTTATCAGGCACGTACTTGAAGCGCTTTGAGAGTGGTGCGGTTGCTTCGATCAGGGCCAGGCTCAGCGCGCCCTGCATCTCTGTTTGCAACTGCAAGCTCTGCAAGCCTTCAATGGCGTGCACCTCCAGCACAAAGAGCACTTGCGGGCTGCCGGGAAGCATGTCGAGGCGGTCGATGCTGGCGCTGATCTGCTGCGGGATGTCGTCCATGGTCTCGGCCGTGTGCCGCTCGCCGCGTGGCGGGAACATGCTGACGAGCTGCCAGCCTGCGGCGACCTGATGCGGCAGCAAGGGGACCTCCAAGTCATCCACGCTGTCGTTGAAAGATGGTGCGTGGAAGACAAGCTCCACGATGCCCAGGCAGTCCTCGTCCTCGATCTTGGTCTTGAACCAAGCGTGCTGCTTGATCTCCACGTCAACCTTACGTCGTTTTCCAGCGACAGGCACCACTTTACATGGCTCCGATACCCACGTTTTCCCAAACACCTGCTTGCTGCCATCGAAGAAGAATGACACCCTCACGGTCGCGCTCACATCCAGATCCTGCACACGTACGCGTGTGAGTTAGTGTGTGTGCGTGTGTGTGTGTGAGTGTGAATGAGTGTGTGTGTGTGTGTGGTTGTGTGTGTTTGCGAGCAAGTGTGTGTGTGTGTGTGTGTGTGTGTGTGTGAGCAAGTATGTGAGTGTGTGTGTGTGGTTGGTGTGCAATTTTGTGTGAACAGGTGAACCTTTCTCCAGTGCAGAACTCAGCGCAGCGGCCATGAGTGACAACAACCACCAGCGTCATCAAAACCAAGAGACACCTACACACACACACACACACACACACACACACATACACACACACATCAGTGCTACCTCGTAGATGGAAGGCAGCGTGACATCTTCGAGGCGTTCAAGGTAAATGACAAAGGCGGCAGTGTTTCGGCGTGGCTTGGCCGCTGAAGGGGCCGGTAGCGGCATGCCCGCACTGCCAAGCACATGCGTGCACCACTCCCTGCTGTCCTCCACATCGTCCGCCTTCATCTCCGTCTTCTTCGATAACGGCGGTGGCAAATCCCTGATGTGGCAAGGGCTTCTTTGCCAACCAACAACAGGTGGCAAAATACAGTCTGCTTTGTTGACATCTTCTACTGTTTTTCTAACCAAAGAAATTTTGGGTGGTATCTGCCCTTGTTCTTTTCGCCATCAGTGCGTGTGCGTGTGTGTGTGGAGTGCCTTTTTTTTTTTCTTGCCGCCTCGTGCTCTGCCACACCAACCAACCACACCAACCAACCACACCAACCAACCACACCAACCAACCACACCAACCAACCACACCAACCAACCACACCAACCAACCACACCAACCAACCACACCAGCCACACACCAACCACAGACCAGCATCATGCCTGCGGTAAGCTTGTAGCTCTGATACAAATGGCAGAGATGCCAACGCTCTCGTTCTTTTGCTTGATTGCCCCTTCCACAAGTGCGTCCCTTTTGCACAATGTGTAGTATTCCGCGGTTGCATTCATTCATTCATTCATATGATGATTGATTGTGATCGTGGGTATTTGCACGACCATCTGCTTTTGTCTCGCACAAAACAACACAGCAAAAGGGTGCCAAGAAGATCGCCACAAAGAAGTTCACCGTGGACTTCAGCAAGGTCGCCGAGGACAGCCTCGTGGAGGTGTCTGAGTTTGCTCGCTTCCTGCACGAGCGCATCAAGGTCAACGGCAAGACCGGCCAGCTCGCCGGTATCGTCAAGATCACCAACACCGACAGCAAGGTCACCGTCGCCACCAAGCTGCCCATGTCCAAGCGGTACGTCCCGACGTGTGGACTTGAGTGGGGGTGGGGTTGCTGCGTGGTCGCGTCTACACATCTGTGTGTGTGTGTGTGTGTGTGTGTGTTTGCTACTTGTGCAATGTGGGTTCCTGCGCGTGCGCCCGTTCTACGGCTTGCCTCAGCCTGTTTGTCATGTCGTCCACCTCGGTACTTTATTTGTGTTCGTTCGCTCACTCTGTTTTGCTTTGACTGTACCTCCCCCCCCCCCCTCATCGAACATACACAGGTACATCAAGTACTTGACGAAGAAGTTCCTGAAGAAGACCAAGGTCAACCAGGAGATTAGCTTGCGCGAGTACCTGCGCGTCGTCGCCAGCAACCCCACCACATACGAGGTCCGCTACTTCAACGTCGAGGGCGCCGAGGAGGAGGAGGAGGACTAAGCGCCTGCGCGCGTGAAACCCTCGCACTCTTGCGATTTGATGTGTGCACACGCACACGCTCCCGCACCATCTCTCTTCTCTCCCGCTTGTTTGCATTCTGCCGAGCGCAGTGCTGCTGCTTGCGCCGCTTGTCTTGGCGACAGTGTACATGATGACTAGACAATTAAACATTAACTGCACCCGAGCGAGTTGCATGCATTCAACCAAAAGCCAACGCATTGAGAAACAAAATCGCAGTGAGTGTGTGTGCGTGGGGTGGATTTGGCAGCGTTGTCGGTTGTGATGGCGTACTGTTGTTGTTCATGTTGTACTGGCTTTCTGTCACCCACATCACTCCCGCTGTGAATCAACCAACCCAAGCAACACACGCTCAGAAAGCAAAGAGCCCTACACCGTCCACACCATCCACGCACGTGCAATAAGCAATCCAAGACCACAAGAGACGACACAATGAAACCACAATCACATGTGTGCCAAAAAGGACTTGAGGCAAGCCCGGGCATCTTCCGAGCACAGCAATCGGTACATGGGGTTGAGACCTGAACAACGTGACACACAAGTGTTTCGTGCAGCCGATGAGATGTCAATGGTGTGCTCCAAACAACAGGGTGTGCGTCACACAAGGGGGTGTCGCGCACAGCAAACACAGCAAGACAGCTGCTACCCACCACACGTGCATTCTCACCGTTTGCATCTTGGATGTTGAGGTCTGCACCCGCCTCCAAGAGCATGGCCACAATCGTGCCGTAGAACCGTGCCGCAGCCAAGTGCAGCGCGCTTTGTGTGTGTGTGTGTGTGTGTGTGTGTGTGTGTGTGTGTGTGTGTGTGTGTGTGTGTGTGTGTGTGTGTGTGTGTGTGTGTGTGTGTGTGTGTGTGTGTGTGTGTGTGTGTGTGATGCACGAGCAGGCAAGAGGATGGTGAAGTGAGAACAAAAAGGAATAACCCAAAAGGCATGAATGCATCACCCTTTGCGCGTTCGAGCAAGCAAGAAGGAACAAAGACACACAACACATGGCACTCACGTCTCGCCCTGCTCATTCTGGATGTTGAGGGACGCGGGATCACGGGCAATGGCCGCTGACACAACCATCTCAGCAGACTCCAAGTTGCTCTAAAGACGAAACAAGGGAGGCAAGAAATGGGAGTGAGAACTGCATGTAACACGACATCACGTCACAGCGTATTACGTCACAAACTGTTTCAAATGAACGGAGTGAACGTCAGCTCGCGTGTGCAGGTGTGAGTCGTCACCTTGTCCGAGAGCACGTGGTGTAGCGCCGTCATGCCGGCGTTGTCCTTCAGGAATGGATTCGGGTGCGTTTCTAAAGCACACGTAGCAAGCAGAGAGGGAGAGGGGAGCGCGGAACGTATGAGAAGGTGGAACAGCATGGCTACATGGCTACATGGATGCACACACACACACACACACACACACACACACAGACACAGACACACACACACACACACACACACACACACACAAGCACGCATGCACGCGATTCACGAACCGAGGTCTGGGTCAAGCAAGGCCTCGATGACGCCAGCGTGGCCGTGGGCGCTCGCCAGCATCAACGCAGTCTGCCCGACGCCGTTCTTCTGCACCACCCAAACAGAGGGGGGGGGGGAGGTGTCGTTCAAGAAACACAAGGATCAGTGAAATGCAAACGCCAAAAGCGCATGTTTGCACACGCGCACACACACACACACACAAACAAACAAACACACACACCTTGTCCAGGGAGGCCCCGACTGCGACGAGCGAGGCTGCGCATTCGGCATGGCCGCCCTCTGCCGAAAGATGCAGCGCCGTGCGACCGCGGTCATCAGCCGCATCCACATCCTGCACAAAGGCAATGGCAAAGGAACAGGATTGGAGACATGACGCATGGCATCGTGGCGTCAGGCATGGGGTCGCAACACAACAGGCAGATATGAGCGCAAACGCACAACGATCCACGCACACGCTTGAACCAACACTTGCCCTGCGCTCCTCTCTCCAACACACACTTCACATCACATTCGACTCACCAAACCCGAGGCGTCTTCAAGCAGCGAGTCGAGGCAGCCAAAGTGGCCGTGCACACACGCGCAGTGCAGGGGCCCAAAGGCGCTCTCGCCCTCGGCAGCCTTCCACTCCACCCCTTCCTCCAGCAGCATCGACACGCAGCCCTACGCAGCGTGCATGCAACAGCACACATGAGCCAACGCCGATGATTGTAGACAGTAGACAGGGGAACAGACCCGCTCACAACGATCTCGTTTGGGCGCTCGGCCTGTACAGGGCACCACAGCATCTCCTCCTCTCCGCATCTGCGCACCTCGTGGCCGTGGAAGCAAGCGTAGTGCAGTGGCGTGTGGCCAGTGCCGTCCACAGCGTTCACGGGCGCGTGCTTCATGACCAGCTTGAGTGCATCCTCCTGCCCAAACATGGCAGCCACGTGCGCGGGCGTACGTCCATATGTGTCCGCAAGCGTAAAGTCGCTGTCTGTTTTCTCCTCAAGCTCCTCCATCACCTGTCACACACACGCACACACACACACACACACGCACACACACACACAATTGTGAGTAACATGGCAGCAGTCGTAGGTTGAAGGATGAGAAGCAACGGTGTGGATGTGGATGTGGATGTGGATGTCTGCACACAAGACGAGACACCTTTGTCAGAGAAGCATTTGGAAAAAGCATGATTTGCGTCAAGTCGGCAATTGCACTCACTGTAGCGTGGCCCTTCTCTGCACAATAGTGCAAGGCTGTGCGTCCAATCTCATCCTTGCATTCGTGGCAGATTGTGTGTGTGTGTGTGTGCGGGCACAAATAAGGCTCCACAAGCACAGGTCAAACACGCCACAGCAAATACGCAGCACAAGCAAAAGCAGGAGGATCGCTCCACAACAAGCAGACCGCCACACCGCCGCACCAACGCAATCATCTCACGCCCCCCTCCACCCACCCCCATCCAAATTCCAACCTGTGCGTTGAAGTTTGGCGCAGGCTCTGCTTGGAGGAAGCAGCGGATGCAGTCCAGGTTGCCGGACTGGCACGCGTACATGACGGCAGTGCGGCCGCGGTTGTCCTTTGCAAACACATCAGTGTCAAAGTCCTCGTCATACAGCATCACCTCAACCGCACCGAGGTGGCCCTTGGCTGCAGCGAGCATCAGCGGCGTCTGGCCCAACTGTGATTGAGTGATTGAGTGATTGAGCAGAGCCGGACGCGGCTGGGTGAGTGGGAGACACACGAAGTGCAACACAGAACACGCCACACCACCAAAAAGAACACACACACACACACACACATACGCGGTTCTGTGCGTTGGCAGCGGCGCCCCTGTCCATGAGCATCTGCAGGGAATCGGCAAAGCCCGCGTGGGCAACGACGTGCAGCGGGGTGTTGCCCTAAAACCGAAACCACGATGAGGATGAGTGAATGCCTACAGCAGCGCAGCAACACACACCCACACACCCACACACCCACACAGCCACACACACGCCCACACATATGCACATACACAAACATGTGCACACACGTGCACGTGCACACAGACACACACGCACTCGGAACACATAATTTGAAACGTTCAGCGGTGTGTACACGCACCTGGTCGTCTGCGGGGTCGAGCGTGATACCAGACGTGTTGAGGAGGGTGTCCATGACCGCATCAATGCCGCTCGCAGCAGCAAAGTGGATCGCCGAGCGCCCGTGTGCGTCGGTCGCATCAATCGCGGCCGGAACATTCACAGAAGGAAGCGCATCCAGCATAAAGTCCAGTGCCATCTGCATATATGGTTACGTGTGTGTGTGTGTGTGTGTGTGTGTGTGTGTGTGTGTGTGTGTGTGTGTGTGTGTGTGTGTGTGTGTTGGTGAGGGAGGAACAAACGTTCCCGTGTGCTCAATATCACAGGTAGCACAGCGTGGTCATCAACCACACACAACACAACACACAACACACCCAGGCCACACAATCCCAGACCAAGTACCTTGTGCCCCTTGAAGGCGGCAAGGTGGATGGGCGACACCTTCTCCTCATCGCCTTGCGTAATGGCCAGGCCCTGTCGCAGACAACACAAGCCATGATGAGAAACAGGCATGCACAAGGTGTGTGTGTGTGTGTGTGTGTGTGTGTGTGTGTGTGTCTTATGTCAGCACATGTGCGTGCTGCCCACTGCCACGTACATCCTTCACAAGAAGAGCGACGGTGTCTCCAAGGCGATCGGTGGCAGCAGCGAGGTGCAACGCGCTGCGCTTGTGCACATCCACCTTCAACTTCAGGTACTTGGCCACTGAATCACACCCAATGATAATTGCACAACAGCAATGTGACGTGGTAAGCATCACTTCTACGAATTATGGGCCTAAAAGCTTTACACAAACAGCACCGTTGAGCGTCACACACACATGCACACGCACACACACACCATACACACACACACACATACACACATACACAAACGCACTATGCTGGAGCAGGACGTTCGTCGCGACGTTGTTGGCTGAGACGGCTGAGTAGTGCAGCGGGGTGCGCTGGTACGCATCAAGCAGGTCACACCTGCATGCGCGCGTTCATGAGTGGTGGGAGCAGCATTAGAGACGACAAACACCGTATCCACGTCAGAAGAAGCGCGTGGCGACGCGTGCACGACTGGTACGTGGTGCGTGGTGCGTGGCTGTGATGCTCACTTTGCGCCGCGGTTGACAAGGACGATGACAGCGTCAGCGGTGCCGGAGAAGGCTGCAGCGTGCATGGGCCTGATGCAGGGGGGGGGGGAGGTTGTGGTGTGTTGGGAGTGTGAGCAAAAAGAAGGCTGAAGAGTTATGGTTGCGGTGGCGGTGGTCGTGAGTGGGCTGTTTGGAAGAGGTGGAAGCGTGAGGCAGCATGTCAAACAAGCGCGAGTGCGTGTTGAGTGCATTGGATGTCTCACGTCTGGTTCTTGCTGTCGCGCTGGTCGAGGGTGTGCGGGGCCTTGTCGAGGAGGAAGAGGAGGGCAGCTGTGTTGCCGCAGCGAGCGGCAATGTGGATCGGCAGCCGCTTGTTCACGTTCTCGCTGCAATGACCACAAGGAAGGGGGCGGTTGGTGGTGATATGAGACAATCGACAGGTGAGCCTGAGGCCAAGCGAAAAATGCCGCCATTTGCCGCCACGCACGCATGCACATTTGCACATACACATTCGCACACGCGCACATACACACACACACACACGTGCACACATTCGCACATGCACACATGCACACTCACACACATTCGCACACGCGCACATACACACACACACGTGCACACATTCGCACAAGCACACATGCACACTCACACACATGCACACATTGCATACACACACACACATTGCATACACACACACATGCAGGGGTACTGACATGTCGAGCTTGCCGCCGTTGTCCTCGAGAAGATCAAGGAGCTGCGAGTCGCCGTGGAAGGCAGCAAAGTGCATCGGCGTGTTGCCCTCGTTGTCCGCAACGTTCAGTGTGTCGTCTGCAGGAACAACAGCACATGTGTGCATCAAGAAACAGGTGGATACAGAGGATATGTGGAGGGGAAGTGATGTGAAAGAGGGAGAACTAACATGTACAAAAACACCTGATAACACCCACCCGTTGCACATTCAAACACATTTACGTACGAGACAATACAATACACAACACAGCACGCATGCACATCCCTGTCCTGTGGAGTACGCACCGCCTGCGAGGAGGAGGTTCTCGATGGTTCCGACATCGCCCGTGCTGCATGCGAGATGCATGGGCAGGCGCCCACGGATGTCCTGCCAAGAAGAAGAAGAGGAAGAAGCGATGGGTGAGGTCACGCACGGATATGCAGATGTGCACTGGAAAAAGAGAACGTGCACTCACACGCACTTTCACATTCACATTCACATTCACATTCACAAGTGCACACCTTTGCGTCAATGCTGGCGCTGTGGCTGATGAGGACTTCCACAACTTCCTGATAGCCAAGCGCAGATGCCTGTGCACACACATACGCACACACACACACACAAACACAAACACACACACACACAAACACAAACACAACATGTGCAGCAGACAAGACAGCATGGGGGTGAAGGTGGCCATACGTGGGCCGGTGGGTGGGGGTGAACATGAGTTGGATCGCTGATGACAGGTGGTCTGCTCAATTGAACCCAAAAAAGTGTCTCAACAAAGCCGCGAGTGATGACATGCACAAACATCCAACAACCAAGCAAACAGGCATACAACAACACTTCTGCCTTGTAAGCACCTCCCAACCCCTCCTCTTCTTTTTGCTGTTGTTGGTGGGGACCTTGTGCAGTGGTGTCTGCAGGTCCTTGTCTGCCTCGTCCACGGCGGCACCGCTCTCCAGCAGCGATTGCGCAATAACAGCGTGTCCGGCCATTGCTGCGAGGTGCAGCGGCGTCAACCCTTTCGTCGTCTTTGTATCCACGTTCACTTTTGCCGCCATCACAATCGACACGCTGTACGTGTGTGTGTGTGTGTGTGTGTGTGTGTGTGTGTGTGTGTGTGTGTGTGTGTGTGTGTGTGTGTGTGTGTGTGCGTGTGTGTGTGTGTGTGTGTGTGCGGTGGGTTGAGGCGATCACGTGCGGTTGTGATCACCATCAGCGCCAAACAGCAGCGCATGTGTGGACGCACGTGGTGATGCAACCGGAGAGGACGGCGGCGTGGAGAAGCGTGTAACCCGCCGTATCCTTCAGCGTCGCATCTGAACACGCAGCACATGTGCACGGCGGCAAGAAAGCGAGGGAACGACATGCGTGTGAAGGCGGCGGTGACGGTGAACACTCGCATGTAAGCGCTGCAAGGAAAGCGTGTCACATATGCACAGCCACACATAGAGAGAAGCGCTGTGAAGGGTGAATACAAAGAGCACATGCGCACACAAATCACAGCCCACGCACGTCGCTGCAGTGTCGTTTCATCCTCGAGCATGACGCGCACAAGCCCGTGGCGGCCTGTGAAGGGAACAAGTCGCAATGATGATGATGATGATGATAGAGATGGTGGTGATGGTGGTGAGTGACGAGTGATGAGCGACGAGTGATGACAGCAATGGCACAACAAGCCAGTCATGGATGAGATACTGGTGTGTGTGTGTGTGTGTGTGTGTGTGTGTGTGTGTGTGTGTGTGTGTGTGTGTGTGTGTGTGTGTGTGTGTGTGTGTGTGTGTGTCGTGTCGTGCGGACCTTGAAGAGCGGCGAGGAAGAGCGGCGTGCGGCCTGCGCGGTCGACGGGATTGCGGTCGCCGCCTTGCTCCCACAGCAGCTTCGAGACGGCCTCAAACCCACTGGTGTCACATATGCAATGAACGTAACATTTGAAATGGAGCCGAGGCCAGGTACACGCACGCACACGCGGATGAGGGTGGGGCTGATGCGTTTGGTGTGTGCACAAGTGGTTAACACCATGTGCACGTGCGCCGGCCACTGCTGAGCTGCCACAAATGCAGATGCACAAACACTAACGTAAACCGACACAAAAGGTACAGCATGTACACGCGTTCAAAGCCAGGCGCCTGACTTGAATGCGGCGTAGTGGAGCGGGTGACGGCGGGAGCGATCAGGGACACCAACGCCCATGTTCAGCTCAATCAACTTCTGCAGCACGTCCTCATCGCCTGCAGACAGTGACAGAGTGTAATGAGTGGTGATGGCAGCATACCTGCAGGTCGTAGTGTGCGTTCGAAGCAAGGTCACACAGGCGAAGCACAACCGTTTTCACACACAACGCACGCACGCACACACACACGCTCTCACATGCGCTCACGCACACATGTCGCACACATGTCGCACACGCACGCGCCACACCTGAGGAAGCGGCGATGTGGAGGGCTGTCTGGTACCGCTTGTCACGTGCATTGACGTCGGCGCCGCGGTCAGCAAGGAAGTCAACCACAGCCTGAACGAACGTGCACGGGTGGTATGAGTGATGCGATTTGCATGGTGGTGGTGGTGGTGAGGTCAACTCACACTCGCACCAAAACATGGATATGCTTACCGGGTTGTGTGAGTTGCTGGCCAGATGGATTGGCGTGATCCACTCGCTGTCACGGGCGTTGACATCAGCACCTGTGTGTGTGTGTGTATGTATATATATATATATATGTGTGTGTGTGCTGGCATCCGTACATGTGCAAACAGATCGCACTACCACACACAACCAGGACCACAACCAGACATTGCACACACACACACACACACACTCACTCACCGGCTTCGACGAGCTTTGCGACGGAGTCCAACAGGCCAGTGGACGCTGCGGCGTGCAGTGCGGTGCGGCCAGCATGGTCCTGGGTGCAACGGCATGAAAAGCGCAAGTGAGCGAATAAGGAAGCAGGGCGACCATGCCACTTCCTCAAACAGCATGCACGGGTTGCTGTGGAAGGGAGTGCAAGCACAAACCCTGCACACACAGCCACAGTAGATGCAACGCAACATAACCAACCACACACACACACACACATATCACTCCACACCACACCACACACTGCACACCACACCACACACTGCACACCAGAACATACAACTGCACCTTCTCGTTGATATCGACACCGCTGGAAAGGAGGTCCGTGAGCTGGGTGACATCGCAGGACAGAGCAGCCAGCACGAGTTGTGGTGGCGCTGGGGCCTGCTGCCAAGCAAGTTGCATGCATTCGAGGCGAGTGGAGTGGGGTGAAGTGGAGATGGGCTAGTGAGCGAGTGTGCGATGTGGAAGGAGGAAGCGTGTGTGCGTGTGCTTTGAGGGTTGATTGCGCGTGGACACCCACTTGTGTGTAAGCGCAAATTGCCCAACACCCAAAAGCACACACACACGCGCACACGCACACACGCACGTCGCATGGGCTGCTGGCTTGCGTGCTCAACTGCCAGCCCCACTACATTACCTGCTCTTGGAGCATATCCATGGCCAAGGAGAGAAGGAGGGTAAACACACAATCACAAGGCGAACCAACAACAAACTTGAACAGAGAAGAAAACGGCGGTTGTGGAGAATTGTTGTGAGGTTTTACAACTTTTCGACCAGAGCCTGCAGGCTCAGACGACAAACAAACTTGGCAGTCGGGCAGTGCTTGTACCGTCGTGGCGCAAGTCTGCATGCGATGAGATGAGATGAACGAAGGTTTGTTGCTGTTGTTGGAGGGCAAGGAGAGCGGGTGGCTGTGCGTGTAGCTGCGTGTAGCTGCGTGTAGCTGCGTGTGCGTTTGTAGATGTATATGGAAATGGAGGAAAGGAGAGACTGACAGGACACAGGAGACACGTCGCTGGAAACATGACGTGGTTGTACTCGTGTACTCTTGAGCACCTGACTCACCCGCTCATGTACACACATACACATATGTACATACATACACATGTACATACACACACATGTACATACACACATGTACACACATACACATACATGTACACACACACATGTACACACATACACATACACACACACAAGGTCCAGGCGATGTCGTCGTGCCAGCGCCAAACACGTTTGGGATTCTTGTGATTACGCTGATCGCGGGTGTGGAGCTAATCATCCTGATCATCATTGGCCTTATCGTGTACTATGTGCGCCAGTGGGTACTGCGCATTCGAAAGGCACGCACGAGGCGGCTCCTAAAGGAACAGCAGGACGAGCAAATCGAGGCGGGTGAAGCAGCCATTCAGCTCCACATCTTCGATGCGCAGGCCGCAGACGACGTCATCTGCAACATTGCTCGAGCCCGCAGGCGAGCCATCGACTATGCGCGCCAACAACACGATCACGCACACCACAGCCAGAGCCACCACATCCCTGCTCTGTCCCTTGCGAGAAGAAGAGGCACGGCAGATTCCATCGCCAACTCACCAAGACCAAGGGCAACACGCGCCTCTGCTGCGGAGGGCATTCAGCAACGATTATCCTCGTGGAACCCAGTACCCACGGAGATCCAGCATCTTCCCTCATTCCACGCGTCACCGCCACCACGGAGCCCAGACATTGAGCGGATCCCCACCCCAAGCGGCGAGTATATTGAGTACTGCGTTGTGTGAGTGCGAATTTGAAGCGAATAGGCCAGGGACGAGGAAATATACCGAGACGGCAGGTTTTGAGCGGTGCCTTGCAGTGCCGGTGCATCGTTGATGTTGAGGCGCACTATGAACGACTTTTGCGCTTGTGCTTGCGTGCACACTTGCACTTTTGCCCTTGTTTTGTAAAAAGGCTTTGGTTGTTGACCGTGTGCATTCAAGCGTGTGCGTGAGTGAGTGCGTGTGTGTACACATGTCTGCACGCCATGTAATACATTACATGATCATGAATGCAGTTTCAGTTATTCACTGCGTGTGCGTGCAGGCAAACAACTGCTGTCATGAGTTGGCGGGTTGAGTTGCCACCTCAAACAGGGCGGTGAGAGCGAGGCACGTTTATTTGGAAGGGGGGGGATTCAATCAATCATCAGAAGAGAGCAGGAAAGCAAACACAAGCACCAGCACTGGAATCGTCGACTGCCAAGCCAATTACGAGCCACGTTCGCATGTGACGGCAGCAATACAGGAAGAGAAAGGAGAGAGACGGGAAGATAACAAACTCTAGCAGCGTATGTGCGGATCATCATTGGACACAACACAGCCATCCCGAAAACACGCAAACCACAAGGATATTGAGCAGTTAACAACATCACCGCACCAACCAAAACAAGCAACAGACACGACACCACACGACACGACACCACACGACACGACGTGTATGTCTAGTCGGTCCAAGTGAAGCCCAGGCGACGGGTGGTGTCGCCAGGGAAAGGGTTGCCGCGGCAATGGGTCCACTGCTTGCCTTCCTTTGGCGGGCCGCGCTTCTTCTGTGTATCCGCCAGCAGCACCTGTTTGCCACAACCAAGTAAGGGCCCGTGGTGGTTGGTTGGTTGGTTGGTTGTAGGTTGGTCGTTGAGAACGGGTGGAGACGTGGGGCGATACAACAAGTGGTCATGTGCTTGCATGCATGCAACGCATGAACCCGGATTTCGTACGATTCCAGCACGTGTAGACGTGTGTCCTCGTGTGTACACACACACACACACACACACACACACACACACACACACACACACCTAACACAAGCGCAAGGGCAAAACAGCAACGTGTGCGCACGAACCTTCTTGATGGCAAACGTGTTTGGGCAGCCGTTGCCCTCGACGCCTTGCAGCTGCTGCGATGTGAACGCAGCAAACGACTGCGCCTCTTGCTTCTCCTTTGACAGCAGCTCCTCGCGTTCCTGCATCTCCGCCTGGCGCTCGGCCACGCGCTGGCGCCGCTTGTGCTCCTGCATCTGCAGCACTTCGCCCTGCAGCAGCTGCAACTCCTCGCGCTTCTGCTCGGCACAGTGACACAAAGGCAGGAAGGTTAGCGGTTGGGCAGTTGGGGAACAGGTTGGAGGTTTGGAGATTCGGAAGTTGAAATAGCAAACGCGAGGCAGTTGCAATGACAACACTTCCTGTTCATCACTTGCATGTATGGCAACACAGTGTATATGTGTGTATGCGCGCGGGGATGTGCGTGTACTTGCAACAGTGACATAGATGACATATGACCAACCTTTCGTCGCTTCTCCTCCGCTTGCTTCTTTGCGTCTTCCGCCTGCCGCCGGAACTCTTCCGCGCGCTAGAGACAAACAAAACACACGCACACAACCGGCTGCATGAGTACAAGGCAAGAAAATGAAGCGACGAAGGGAAAGCAAGTTTGGGTTGTTTCACTCACTACAACTCAGGCCACACACACACACACACTTGCATACACACGCACACACTCTTGCATACACACACTCACACACATACTTGCACACACCTGCTTCTCGCGTTCAGCCTCCTCCTTCCTTGCGCGGGCCTTGCGCTGCATGTCCATCTCGCGGTGCTGGAAAATGTCATCCAGCATTCTCTTCCGCTCCTGTTCCTTTCGCTCCTCAGCCTGCGCGAAATGAAAAAAAAAAAAACCACCACCACCACGCACACGCACACACGCACACACATGTGAGCGAAATGCAAGGTATGAAAGGGAGTTAGGCAAGGAAAAGGTAGGAACACGTGTGCATGTCTGTGCATGTCTGTGCGACAAAGGGAGGGTGTGATGGGGTCCTGCTAACCTCTTGGCGCTGGCGGTCCCGCTCCTCAATCACGCGCTGCCGCTGCTGCTCCTCCTGCTCACACACACACGCGTACATACAAACCAGGAAGCGTGAGAATTGCACATGAAAGGACACAAATAGAGTGGTGCACAAGCACAGCGGCAACCCTCAATAACCAATGGGGCGACAACAGCCATCACCATGGTGAGTGTGCTGTCACCTCGTCAGCGACGCGCCTGACGGACTGTGCAAGCTTGTTTGCGACGTTGAAGCGGCCCTGCTGCACCTGGCGAATGCGCTCCGCCTCCCGCTCCTTTTGCAGCGTTACCAGCCGGTCGTGCGTCTCCGTGTAAAGCCGCAGCCTGCATTGGGGGGGGGGCAAGGAGGATGGGGAGGGCAATGTTGCTGTGTGAGCGGGTGATCTTATCAATGCAGGTGTACTCGGAGAAGCGCAGTCAAGCAAGGCAGCAGTGTATTAACACAACCCCTGTACACGCACACGTGCACACACACACACACACACACACACACACACACACACACACACAAACCTTTCTTCTTCCTGCTCTTGGAGTTCCTTCTCGCGCTGTTCGAGCAGCTCGCGCTCCTGCCGCTGACGTTCAAATTCCGACCTCAAATGTTGTTTTTGCTGCATTGTCGCCACCTGGCGCGCCTTTTCCTCCGCCGTGTGCTTGTTCTGCAAATGAAGCGACGTATGTGTTTACGTTTGTGTGTTTGTGTGTGTGTGTGTTTGCGAGGTAAGAAATTACATGTCAGTGCTTGGATGGTTTGAGCTAATGGCATGCATAGAGAAGGAAACTGTGCGCGCTCCACACACACACACACACACACACACACACACACACACACACACACACATATGGGCATGCGCACATGTATATCCACCATCAGAACAAAGCAATGACACCACCACCGCCACCGTGCAAGCTGTGAGACGCACCACGTCCTCGTGGATGGCGACAGCCTCGTCGAGCTCGGCCTTGCGCATGTGCAGGCGCTGCTTGCGCTTCTCTGCCGCCTGCTGCAGCTGGTCTGCCGCCAGTGCAATCTCTTGCTCCCGCTTCAGCCGCTGCTTCTCAGCCTGGCAACCGCGGCCAGAGAGAGAGAGAGAGTGTGTGTGTGTGCGTGTGTGCGTGCGTGTGTGTGTTTGTATGTGTGTGTGTGTGCGTTTGTGTGAGTGTGTGAGTGAATAGAAGCAAGGTGATTTGTCACTGTGTTCAAACCAAGCCGGCGCAGGTGTGTCATGCACTGCAGCCCTCATCCTCACTGCACCCATCCAGAGGTCAACGCACCTCGCGCTTCTCTGCCTCGATGCGCTCTTGCTCGCTCTGCTCAACAAGACTCTGCTCATACTGCTTCAACAACTCCGCACTGTCCGTGATCAAAGCAAGGGTGGTGACGGCAACAAGCAATGGCAGTAGTGAGACCGGAGAGTGTGTGAGCCCACATGTAAGTGTGCACACACGAACGAGTGTGGGCATGTATCCAGCTTGAAACGTAGAAAGGGCCATGCCATTCGACACAAAACAAGCAAACAAGCAAACAAACAAACAAACACACAAACAAACACACAAACATATATGAGGCCACCAACCGCTTTGTCTTTCTGTTTGCCTGGCGCTCGCGCTCACGGATGACCTCGGACATGAGCACGGCAGATTGCACCCCGCGGATGCGGTCGTCTTGCTCGTACAGTTGTTGCTGTTGACACGTGCGCAGCGCAAGGCAGTGGCGGTGAGTTGGCGCACGGTGGTGAACGCGTGTGCGCTTGTCTGTGTGTGTTTCTGTGCGCGTAGCGTCACTTGGATGACAACCAGGGATCACGAGACGGCATGGGCTGTCCAGTCAGACACAAAGCTTGCCGAAGCACGTGACGTGATGTGCGCTCATGCACATGCATGCACACCTTTGCCTTTTCGATGGCCTTGCGGCGCTGCTCTGCCTGGAATTCTTCTTCCTCCTTGTCCAGCTGCTTGCGCTTCTCCTGAATTTGTACCCACAAAGGCAGCGAGCACACACGAAGGGCACGAGACGTGTTGTCATGCCATTGGGTGAGTGTGGGCTTGAGAGCACGACAGCGGAGCGGCAGGTCAACATGACGCGGTTGACAGCCATGGCAAGCGGAGATACGTGACAGTGGACAGGTGCGAGCAGTATTGTGTTGATGTGGAGAGACGAGCCCACCTCCATCTGCTCCAGCCGCTTCTTTCGTGCCTCCAGCTTTGCTTGCCTTTGACCCTGAACGTTGAGATGATGAGATGCATGTGCTGCGCAGTCAGTTGGTGGCATTGTGGTAGCCAAGCTATCAAAGCAAACACACAGGCACACAAACACACACACACACAATAACACACACACACACACAAGAACACACGTACACACATCTTGGCACATGCCCTCGGTCATGTTTGACATGATCAAAAAAAAAAAAACATTGACCTTCCGAGAGCCCCTCTCAACGACACATGTCACACGCATAGACGTACAGCGATCGTGTTCGACCATCCTGCGACGCTCTGCTGCGAGAGCTCGTGCAGGCGCTGCTTCTCTTGTTGCTTGCGCTGCTGCTCGATGATCTGAGGCGATGGGCGAAGGTGCGCCTTGATTCGCTCCCACTCGTCACGGCTCAAGACGAGCGCCTGCACGACAACACCGACAACAGGCAACGTGTGGGTGCGTGTGAGATGCGCAAATGAGGGTGAGACAGAGGGGGAGAGAGAGAGAGAGAGAGAGAGAGAGAGAGAGAGAGAGAGAGAGAGAGAGAGAGAGAGAGCTGGACAGATAGACAGTGCATTGCGCGTTGGTTGTGGCTGTGGGTGTGCAAACGGTCCACATCACGCCACGATCAACCCTCATCACAATCCAACACATCTTCGCGCTCATCTGCATCATCATTCATCAACGCACACCCAATCACGCACGCGCGCACCTTTTGGTTTGACTGGCTTCGTCGTGCCATGACCGCGACTGCTGCTGCTGCTGTTGCTGGATTCTTGTCTTCTTGCTGCTCCCGCCTCCCCTGTGTCTGCTCGACGACCACACTCACAGCTGCCCGTCTTGGCGTGGTTCCTTCCTTTCTTCTTGGCGTCCGCTGTTGTCTTGTCTCTCTGCTGTTTGTGTTGCCAGGATTAAAAATGGGCATTTGATCTTCGCGCTCAAATCAAACATTTTCTCCATTTGAGCAGCGGGTGCGCCGTTGCTTTTCGTGGTGTCGCTGACTGTCTTTGAAACTGGAACTGGCGGACTGCTTTGTGGACTGCGCCAAACCAACCAAACCAACCTGCGCCGATTACACACCATCATCGACATCGACATGGATATCTGGCAGCTGTTCGAGGAGGATGAGGCGGAGCAACAATACGTCTCCACCCGTACGTGCTGTGTTATGCTATGTTGTGCTGTGTAGGGTGTGTGAGGGCGTGCGGCAGCGGCAACAAAGCTGTGCATGCAGTGTCTGTGTGTGTGTGTATGTGTGTGCAAGACACGTTGGCACAGACAGATGCGTGTGTGTGTTTGCGTTGTGTTTGCACTGTGCAGATGCGAGCCCGACAAAGGACAGTGTACCACGGCCACCAGATCGTCGTGCACAGTGCAACCTCGCAGGTGAGGCTGATGTTGCCCTCACTGCCATGCATGCTTTGCTATGTCGTCGTAGCAGATGCAGACACACACAGACACACACAGACACACACAGACACAACAGAATGCATGTGCACGTATGTCGCTGCCACTCCTTTTGAAAACATCGCCTCACGGTGCATGCCGTGCTTTTGCGGGGGCTGCTGAAAGGGCTGGCCAACTTGGGGACCACATGCTACCTCAACTCCTTAATACAGACCATGTACTTCACACCACAGCTGCGCCAGAGATTTTACGAACTGAGTACGTCCGCGTTGTGGTTTTATGTACCTGTGTGTTTGTGCGTGTGTGGGTATGAGTGCGTGTGCCTTTGTTTGTGTACCTTTGTGTGCCGTGTGTATGTGTGTGTGTGTGTGTGCCTTTGCTTGTGTACCTTTGTGTGCCTTGTGTGTGCATGTGTGTGGGTATGAGTGCGTGTGCCTTTGTTTGTGTACCTTTGTGTGCCGTGTGTGTGTGTGTGTGTGTGTGTGTGTGCGTGTCTGTGTGTGTGTCTGTGTGTGTGTGTCTTGTATCGTCTTGCTCAGATTTGACATCCGTTGCTCTCTTTTGTGGTGATGGCATGCAACAGCGGAGGCCGATCTCGGAGAGAGCACAGATCGGAATGATCAGCGCACACGCAAGATTCCACTCGCCCTTCGGGTACGGGAGTGGAGCGATCACGTGTTGTTTCACTGAGTTATTGCCCTCACCACCAATGGAGTGACACCACATTGCACACACCTCACCACACACACGCACTCATACACACTCGTACACACACACACCTCACCACACACACGCACTCATACGCACTCGTACACATGCACACTCGTACACATGCACACAAACGCACTCGTACACATGCACACTCGTACACACACACACACACACACACACACACACACACACACACACAAATGGCGGTGCAGCGCCTGTTTGCGCGGCTGCAGCTGCTGGAGCGCAAGTCTGTGCCCGTGGGGGAGCTGACGGCGGCGTTTGGATGGCAGCGCAGTCAGGAAATCCAGCAGCACGACGTGCAGGAGCTTAACCGTGTCCTCTTCGACGCCATCGAACAAGTGCGTGCGCTTGTGTGCGTGTGCGCGTGTGTATGTGCGTGTGTAGAGTGTCTTGCCATGAAGACGCATCTGTAACTTCTCACCCCCTTGCAACCACACAACCCCACACGCGTACCCGTCCTTCACACGTGCACGTGTGTGCAGTCGCTGGTAATGAGCCCTGGGGAGCGGATCATCCGGGACATGTACGAGGGCAAGCTTGTCAACATTGTGCAGTGCTTGGAGTGCGGCGCTGCGTCACGTCGTGAGGAATCGTTTCTGGACATCAGCGTGCCCGTCAAGGATCTCGTGTCGTTGCAACAAGGGTGAGCTGCTGCTGCTGCTGCTGCTGCTGGAGAAGCTTGAGCATTATTGTTGCATGCACTGCCGTTGTTGCGCCTTGAGAACCTTTGATATTCACACACACACACGCACACACACACACACACACACACACGCACACACACACACACACACACTGCGCAGGCTGTCCAAGTTCACTGAGATGGAGCACCTGTGCGGGGACAACAAGTTCCGGTGCAGCGCGTGCGACCGGCTGGTTGAGGCGTACAAGGGCATTCTCCTCTCGTCGCTCCCGCCCATCATCAGCTTCAACCTCATGCGATTCAGGTGATGCAGGTGGTGGTGGCGGTGGTGGAAGAGAGAGGGGGGGGAGCGGGGCACAAAGTCGATGGAGGTGCTCGTGGCAGTTGAGACGAGCGATGAGGCTGCATGTGTGTGTGTGTGTGTGTGTGTGTGTGTGTGTGTGTGTGTGTGTGTGTGTGTGTGTGTGTGTGTGTGTGTGTGTGTGTGTGATGTCATGGCAATTTCAAGCGTACACATGCACTCTTTTCACCCTTTCAACAACTGCACCGCCACTGATAGCTATGACTGGAACAAAGGCACGCGCACAAAGGAGACCAACGAGTATGCGTTTCCCGACATTCTGGACATGAAACCATACTGCACAGAGGACACGGAGCTCCCAGGTATCCATTGTCGACGTGTGTGTGTGTGCGTGTATGTGTGTGTGTGTGTGTGTGTGTGTGTGTGTGTGTGTGTGTGTGCTTGTGCTTGTGTAGTGAACGGGCGTGCGTTGAAACACGTGTGTACCCGTATGGAATGACCATCGCACGACAATTCGATGAGGCAGTGCGTTCAGTTCACACCACCTCACCACCGCATGACACCGCATCATGATGCACCCACCACCTTACTTCGGCCTGTCCCGCACCAACACACGTGTCGACTGATGATGGACGCACGAAAGAGTACGAGTACGCACTGTATTCTGTTGTTCTGCACCGCGGCGCCGCCCACAGCGGACACTACTACGCCTACATCCGCGACGTCTACAACGAAGGTTCAACTCGCAATGTGTGTGTGTGTGTGTGTGTGTGTGTGTGTGTGTGTGTGTGTGTGTGTGTGTGTGTGTGTGTGTGTGTGTGTGTGTGTGTGTGTGTGTGTGTGTGTGTGTGTGTGTGTGTGTGTGTGTGTGTGTGTGTGTGTGTGTGTGTGGTCGGCGGCTTTTGGGTGTGCCCCGCCCCTCCTGACCCGGCTCCATACCATGTGTCCCTGTCGGCATGTCGGTGTGCAGGCAACTGGTCCAAGCCGGCATCACCATCGTCGTCATCAGCGGCTGGCGAGAAGAAGAAAGCTGTCGACGTTGATTTCCTCATGTGCAATGACGCCGCCACCTGCGTCCACGTACGGTCTCAACACTTTGTTTTGTTTTGTTTGTTTGTTTGTTTGTTTGTTTGTTTGTTTGGTTGGTTGTTTGTTTGGTTGTTTGTTTTTGGTTGTGTTTGTGTGTGTGTGTGTGTGTGTGTGAGTGAGTGAGTGTGTGTGTGTGTGTGCGCGCGCCAAGGTGTGTTTCGCCCGCTTCCTTGTGTTTGTGTGCATTTTTTGTGTTTGTACGCGACCACAGCAACCTGACCTCACCTATTACTGACCAACCCCAACTCCACCACCTCTGTGCTGCATGGACACAGGCGCTGTTACGGTCGATGGAGCCGTCACAGCTGCCCGTCCCCATCCAGGACATGACAAAGGTACGGTGAACAAGCGGCTGCGACACAGAGCACACTTGCTCACAAGCCCACACGGTGTCAATAGCATAGACCTTGCTCCGTTGTTGCAACCGCCACCACCGCACCACCACTTCTACCCGTTCTTCACCACCACCACCACCACCCTTTCCACTTACTGCAGGCGCTGTGTGACAAGACAGGCCAATCATGGCACAAGCGCTTCAAGCGGACAAACGGGCCGGTTCGCAAGTTCTTGAAGCACCACGCCGCGCTTTTTGAATACGACCAACAGCGTGACACCGTCACCCTCACAGACGTACGTCAGATTACACACGACCGCTGTACGCGCGCGCGCGCGCGTGTGTGTGTGTGTGTGTGTGTGTGTGTGTGTGTGTGTGTGTGTGTGTGTGTGTGTGTGTGTGTGTGTGTGTGTGTGTGTGTGTGTGTGTGTGTGTGTGCTTCATATTGTTGACGTTGCTCGGGGAATGCGTCAGCTCACTGCGACAGCTGTGCCGTCTCTTTGCTCCTGCTTGTCTGTGCAGCTTGGATTCTCCACAGATGTTTGTGACGTGTCTATTCCAGACATCGCCGCCGAC